AGATAGAACTACTACTTCAAAAAATGCAGTTCACTCACCATCCCATGCTAGAGAGTAGTATTTGACATTGTTTTGGATTTCTATGATGAATATAATACACAAATTAAAGGAACTCATGTGATGTAATGAAAACAGATTGTTTTGAACTTGGGTTTTTAATTTTTAATGTTTTGAGTCTGCTTTAGCATCTATTAGATTCAGCTGAAGTTTATCATTTTTAACTATGCTTTTCACTTCCCAGAATAAGAACTTTTGAGCTTGGGTTGTTTATTTTTAAAGTTTGAATAAGAACATTTGAAAAATTATGATCTGTTTGAGTATTCTAAATTCCTTAATACTCGGTTTGAAACAGATTGTTTTCAAACATCATTAAGTATGATAAATTAAAGGAACTCATGTGATGTAATGAAAACAGATTGTTTTGAGCTTGGGTTTTTAATTTTTAATGTTTTGAGTCTGCTTTAGCATCTATTAGATTCAACTGAAGTTTATCATTTTTAAATATGCATTTCACTTCCCAGAATAAGAACTTTTGAGCTTTGGTTATTTATTTTTAAAGTTTGAATATGAACATTTGAAAAAATCCTTTTAAGCTTTTCATTAGATAGAACTACTACTTCAAAAAATGCAGTTCACTCACCATCCCATGCTAGAGAGTAGTATTTGACATTGTTTTGGATTTCTATGATGAATATAATACACAAATTAAAGGAACTCATGTGATGTAATGAAAACAGATTGTTTTGAACTTGGGTTTTTAATTTTTAATGTTTTGAGTCTGCTTTAGCATCTATTAGATTCATCTGAAGTTTATCATTTTTAACTATGCTTTTCACTTCCCAGAATAAGAACTTTTGAGCTTGGGTTGTTTATTTTTAAAGTTTGAATAAGAACATTTGAAAAATTCCTTTTAAGCTTTTCATTAGATAGAACTACTACTTCAAAAAATGCAGTTCACTCACCTTCCCATGCTAGAGAGTAGTATTTGACATTGTTTTGGATTTCTATGATGAATATAATACACAAATTAAAGGAGCTCTTGTGATGTAATGAAAACAGATTGTTTTGAACTTGGGTTGTTAATTTTTAATGCTTTTAATCTGCTTTAGTATCTATTAGATTGAGCTAAAAATTATCATTTTTAACTATGCTTTTCACTTCCCAGAATAAGAACTTTTGAGCTTGCTTGGGTTGTTTATTTTTAAAGTTTGAATAAGAACATTTGAAAAATTCATTTTAAGCTTTTCATTAGATAGAACTACTACTTCAAAAAATGCAGTTCACTCACCATCCCATGCTAGAGAGTAGTATTTGACATTGTTTTGGATTTCTATGATGAATATAATACACAAATTAAAGGAGCTCTTGTGATGTAATGAAAACAGATTGTTTTGAACTTGGGTTGTTAATTTTTAATGTTTTTAATCTGCTTTAGGATCTATTAGATTGAGCTGAAGTTTATCATTTTTAACTATGCTTTTCACTTCCCAGAATAAGAACTTTTGAGCTTGGGTTGTTTATTTTTAAAGTTTGAATAAGAACATTTGAAAAATTATGATCTGTTTGAGTATTCTAAATTCCTTAATACTCGGTTTGAAACAGATTGTTTTCAAACATCATTTAGTATGATAAATTAAAGGAACTCATGTGATGTAATGAAAACAGATTGTTTTGAGCTTGGGTTGTTAATTTTTAATGTTTTTAATCTGCTTTAGTATCTATTAGATTGAGTTGAAGTTTATCATTTTTAACTATGCTTTTCACTTCCCAGAATAAGAACTTTTGAGCTTGGGTTGTTTATTTTTAAATTTTGAATAAGAACATTTGAAAAATTCCTTTTAAGCTTTTCATTAGAACATTTGAAAAATTATGATCTGTTTGAGTATTCTGAATTCCTTAATACTCGATTTGAAACAGATTGTTTTCAAACATCATTTAGTATGATAAATTAAAGGAACTCTTGTGATGTAATGAAAACTGATTTTTTTGAGCTTGGGGTGTTAATTTTTAATGTTTTTAATCTGCTTTAGCATCTATTAGATTGAGCTGAAGTTTATCATTTTTAACTATGCTTTTCACTTCCCAGAATAAGAACTTTTGAGCTTTGGTTGTTTATTTCTTCTATGCCTGCCTGGTTATTCAAGCAGTAGAAGTGTTCTTTTTATTTCTTTAATAAACTAAGAACTCAGCATTGTCCTTCTGTTAAGCTTAAGTTTATCATTTTTAACTCTGCATTGTCCTTAGTTCAGTCCTTAATCAAAAAGAAAAAAATCAAACAGGGGAGCCAGAATTCAAATTACAGAATTGAACACTTCCCATCTATTGAGCTGAAGTTTATCATTTTTAACTATGCATTTCACTTCCCAAAATAAGAACTTTTGAGCTTGGGTTGTTTATTTTTAAAGTTTTTAATCTGCTTTAGCATCTATTAGATTGAGATCTTATGCAGCTTATGTGATTAAGGTGTGATAGATCTTTTTTTTTTAAATTTTTTAGAGTTAACGTTAGCATACTGGATTCTTTAGAAAAAATTGAAGAATACTATGTCATGCCTTATTTTATTGGTTTCTTAATGTGTGGGTGTGTCTTTGAAACTGTTTTGTATGGAAATATTTGAAAATCAGTATATTCAACAGACTTGAGATGTTTCGCTTTTCTTTTTCATCCTCTTTTATATATTCTGTTGTGATTTTTATACTAATAAATCATTTTTTGAGATTTTATATGAAAGTATTTATTAATTATTTAATGAATAATGATAAAGTGTGGCTGGATAGATTGTCACTTTTTAATTTGTTAATAAAAAAATTCTAATATTTATCATTAGGAGTCATTCCACTTATTCAATGATTATCTTTTATTTATTATTTATGTTATTTTTAATTAATTGCTTAATTAAAAAAGAAAAAAGATGGCCGACTAAATTATTTAATTAATGATAATGATCATCTTAATCTAGGTAAAGCAACATCTTTTTAATACGAGATTTATTATAAAAATCTTATTGCAAATAAACTACATGTTCTTTTATCGAGTAAGAGTAAGATTATTAAATTATGATAGTTATCATTAGCAGGACTATCGGATTATTCAATGATTCTCTTTTATCTATGACGTTTCTGATTGTTAAATTAATTATTCTTTCTTGTGTTCTTATATATTACTTTTTCATATTTTCTAAATTTATTCATGTTTTTTAACTTTCTCAACCACTTCATGATCGAATTCTACTTTTTAATTATCTTTCTCATGTACTTCATTTATAGGAACAATGCCACCTAAGAAGGTGTATCTGGGAGACGTTGTGAAGAACTTACCAAGCAATTCTGCTTTCCTGGTGAGAGTCACTCGGAAATGGAATGCCCTTTTTGGGGAGAAAAATCGAGCCATCAAATCCATTGAAATGATTTTCATGGATGAAAAGGTTACACACTTTTTCCTAATCCATACCTTTGTATTAATGATACAAAATAATAATAATAGACATTATGTTGGTAAATATACCAAACGAGAATACATTGGTTAAAACCAATATATTCTCTAGGTTTAAACTTTAAACGAATTGAGCATTATTCGGTTCTTATATTAATATTTAATTTTCAATATAATTTTTATATATGAAGTATACAACATATCATATACATTAGTGTTGTTAATATAACTAATATAGCATGAATTTAAATTCACAATGACATGGTTCAGATAATTATTTTTAAATACAGTGTTGTCAAATGAACATGTTAATATAGCTTACATATTCATTTTCATGTTCTGACAGTTATCAATTATCTTCTGTTTTAAACTTCGAAGGTAGGTTTTTTAATATTCATCCTTTTTGAAATATGTTTGTGTCATATTTTCATTCAAACTTGAAAGGCTTTTTTTGAAAACTTATTTTTTTATATTTGATATTATTTTTTATGAAATTTTGAAAATTACAAACCTATAAACTGATTAGCAAAAGCAAACGGAAATTAAGAAAACATGCAACCTGCAAAAAGTAAGCCCTAAGTTGATACCAAGCATTCCAGTTTCAACTCACGTACCTTTCTAAGTTTAATAAAAATATTATAGGCTTTTTTGGCATTGGTAGGGAATAGAAAGTTTTTTTAACCTTATAAAAAATGCCATGGCAGTGATGTTCAAATCTTAATCAAATGCAAAAAAAAATTATAACAAATACATAATTAACGCATGAAAAGATTCCGATTACTTTGTTTTGTTGATGCTTCTAAAAGGGTACGACAATTCAAGCCACTGTTCCGATTCGACTAAGTCATCAATTCAACGCTATTGAAGAAGGATTGATTTATGCGGTCAATCACCTAGAAGTTAAAGTGAATGATGGAAAGTATAGGATCACTGCCCACCCATACCGCTTTGAGTTGACAGTGTTCACTAAAATGCAACATAAAGAGCAAAAAAGCTGTCCTAGCTTTGTAACTAGATTTAAATTTGCAAGCTTCGAGGATATTAAGAAGATGCAGAATTGTGATTCTCCTTTTCTGATAGGTATGTTTTTGTTTTATATTTTAAATTTATGTATGACGCTAATATACTACTCCACTTATTGATGATATTGTTAAATCGAATGAACACAGATGTGATTGGTGCGTATGATGTTGAACAAGAGTTCAAAAAGCAAAAGACACAAAAGGATGCTTGGTATACCGATTTTCATTTGGCAGACTTGGAGTTGAGTTCCTTTCAAAACTCTATTTTATCTGTAATGCATGAATAATTTGTCATAATATTTTACAATTTTGCTATACCGTAATACTATTGTGAAGGGGCCAAAATGTTTTATGTACTTTGTATGGAGACCTGGTGCTTGAAGTCGAGAGGTTTTTAGCTACTTCGTTTAATGGTCCAGTTATATTCATTATCCAAGCATGCCGCACAAATAAAAGATATGGTAAATATGTCTGACCATGACCTTTTCACCTGTAAAGATGTAAAAGTTTTTTTTGTTCATTAAATTATACGTTTTTCACCTATAGGTGAAAAGATTGGAGTGGCTTCTTCATGGGATGCTACCAAGTTAATTTTGAATGACCATATTCCAGAGATAGAGGATTTCCGATGCCAGTAATGATCCTTTTCCTTCTTTATAATAACTAAATGTGTCAAATTTATATTATGATTTATTTATATTATGATTTATATTCACATTATGAACAAATGTAGGTTTTTGAATTCAACAAAAACAATGAAGTCAATTGCAAGTCATGCAACTTCATCTTGCGTGACTATAAGAGATGATATCACGCAGTTTGGGTTTACCATGCCTCTTTTTGATTTGGACACCGCCAAAGAGGTATGATTTTATATGATATCCTAAATATCAATCAGAACATAAAAAATGTCAACCTGTCAACTAAGTAACATTGGCAATCAGTAAAAAAACCTTAATTCACATAATGTGGGAAGTCGATTAAAAAAAAGTACCAATAGTAACATTACTCGACAATTCCAGGATCAACCTCACCAATGCTTTCCTCATTTTAATAATTCTGCAATTTATGTGCTTTAGATGACCAAAGAATCTGTACGGAAAGTTGTATACCGAATTCCTTCTAATTGAAAAATCAAATGAGAGTTTTTACATTGCTTTTTCTTACATATTTCATCTTTTTCTTCTTTATGTTTTAGTATACCTCGCCTATGAACTAAACTGTTTCAGAATAGAAATATTTTGCTAACGAATCAATCAAGTAACATTACCCATCAGAATAAAAACCGTTAAGCTATTGAAGTGTATGACCTAAACTCATCTGAAAATTATGCTGATTTTCCGCCAATTTTGCATATTTTACTTCATTCAAATAATGTTGAAGTTTTGTTAAAAATATGCACAAATACTTATATCACTCAAGATTTTCAATCTTATTTGGCAAACTGTTTTCACCGTACCATTTTATTAACTTTGCAATATAGGTGCTTTAGAGGTCTAAATAATATTTATGGAAAGGTATACCATACCAAATTCCTTCTGACTTAAAATTCCAAAGATAGTTTTTTCATTGCTTTTTCTTACATATGTCATCCTTTTTTTAAAACATCTCTCGCCTATAAACTAAGCAGCGAGAGTAGCCCAAAATAAAAAAAAACATGCAACCTGTAAAAAGCATGCCTTGAAGTTACAAAATAGAATCCCGAATTTTTCATGTTTACTAATTCAAATAATGTGCTAAGTTAAACAAAAATATTAGAAGTTCATTTGGTAGTTATTAAAAAATACATATTCCTAATCTATTTAACCATATTAACCATATTAAAAAAACAATATTAAACTGACTTCAGTGATGAGTTTAATTTAAAGAAATACATTAACCATATTAACCATTTCATTTGTCAATATAATGAAGATTCATTATATTCAAATAATGAATTTGATGATAAAAGAAGATTCATTAAACTGGCTAAGTTGATCAGTAAAATATTAGAAGTTCATTTGGCAGTTATTAAAAAAATACATATTCCTAATCTATTTAACCATTTTAACCATATTAAAAATACAATATTAAACTGACTTTAGTAATGAGTTTAAGTGAACAATTTTTTAAAGTTTGGTATATCTTATGTGTCTGATAACAAATGTAGTTCAACACATTCAGTTTGCTATCGTGGATTCTTACAAATAAACATTCAAAATACATTAAAATATAACAACTTGAGAATAAATTTGATTAAAGAAGTAATTCTTAATAATGAGTATTTTAGTTAACTATTACTTTGGTATACAGGTTAAGGGTTGCTGGTTCTACGCCCAAATTTGTATTGTAGAAAGATCTTCCTAATCTAATATTAAATAATGAGTATTTTAGTTAACTGTTACTCTGGTATACAGGTTAAGGGTTGCTGGTTCTACGCCCAAATTTGTTCAATTCTATCATTAAAGAATTGGGCTTACCTGGGATGTAGTAGTAAAACATGATTTAAAAAGCTTAAGTATGAGGGAGCATCTCTATATTGTCACAGTTGTCGAGATGTCAAACAGACAGGTATTTGGCGGTACATGTTAAAATTAATGGTGAAGCATAGTAAGCATTTTGTTGAGGTAGTTATGTGGGATGATGTTTCAAGTAAGCTAATTGGCAAACCAGCAGATGATCTAAGTGACAGCCTTAGCTTGGTAAACCAATCAATTTATATTTTGTGTTATGTTTATATGAGATTTTTAATAATTTGGAATTAGTAGTGTATTTTAAGTATAAAATTTACTGCTCTTCTTTTATGCAGGAGACTTTATCGCCTTCTGATGTTCATAATGATGTCTTGGATTTGATTGGCCGGGAATTCATATTCAAAGTTGGGAATCGGAAATTCAATACCCTTACAAATCAGAATGAGTATACAATAGCTACGTTTTCTGAAAACGCAGAAAAAATTAAAGAGCTGAAGGAGTCTGTTCAAGAGGAAGTATTTGAGGTATTAATTGTCTCCACAAAATTAATTAAAAAATTATGAAAACGGAATAAAGTTGATTGTTGCCGGCATAGTAAATTTTTCCCTTTTAAATAACCATATTTGAAAATAGTCCATTTGAAATTAGTTTCTACAAACTTGCAAACACTTGAACTTTAACATACACTTGTGTAAATACTTTATTAAGATGCTGTTATACTACTTTTGTGCTTAACTGTTAAACTAAAAAAGTAATCTCACACAAAAAGAGGAACTTGGCTTTTAAACCTGCTCACAACTTTGCTGTATTGTGGTATTTATGTAATAAAAAAACTAAAACTCTAACGCTTGGTTACTATCCTTTGGTTCGTATTAGGTATATAACTCAGATTCCGATCTTGATTTGATGTGTGGTGAAGACACCAATGTCGAATCAAATATGGTAAAATATTTACAACTTTGTTATAAATAGAAAATTATATGCAAATTAGTGAAAAGGAACTGATCCAGGTGTGCAATTTTTCAGACGCCGCACTCACAAGATGTTGAATCTCATTGTACCCCCGAGTCGGTTTTGTCCAAGAGACATGTTAATGATGAAAATGCATCTGATGGAACGGAACAAAGCTCAGCCACCAAGAAATTGAAGGGGGTTAAGATTGAGATTTGACTTGACATGCAATAATTTATTTTCTAATGAATTTTGAATTTTGCTACTTGGGAATAATGACGTGTGTGATTTAATTTTTATTTTGGTTTGAATAAGCAAGACAATTTATCACTACATTATAAATTTCATATATACTGAAGTTATGAGATTTTTTCCATTTTTTGCATCTACGATGTTTTACCTTAAAAAATCAACAAATGAAACATCTTTTATCGTTTCGATGTCTCAATATGTTTTATGTGGATTGTGGTTAAAATTCTGTTGAGTGTTTGTTGGTATTGATCTTTCTAATTGGTGGGCATAACGGACAGCATATGTAAGTGTGTAACAAGATGCAATGTGTGATGCTAACTTTGTAAATTTTGGTTGTAGAATTTCTAATTTGAAATTTAAATAAGGTATTAGGAAAGGAACTTGCAGCTCAAAAATGTTTTGGGAATAGGCTGGGTATAAAAAACTGAGATATCTACAAGTATTTTTAATGAAATATCATATGATCAAATTTGGTTTGCTCTGGTAGATCACAAATTCGATCCAATCACTCCATGCGTGTTAGTATAGATGAGAATAAAAAAGAAGAGATGTAATGATGGTTTGTAATATAGATGTGTATTTAGCATTTTTGTTTCGTCAATTCTGACATATTTTATGCCTGTTAGCATTTTTTATTCACCCCATGCATGTTAGCATTTTTATTCATCCTATTGCAAGCTTATTACATAGTTACTACTGCGTATATAAAGAGTAAAAATCTCATCAATCTAGAATTATAGAAGTCCTGTTTGGGCAAGTCCATTTGAGTGGTTTCTTGATGGAATTTTTTGATTAATTTTGACAACACGCTCATCATGAATTATATATATGTGTACTTAGTTTAGTATATATAAATCTACTACGAATAAGTTAAACATTACATAACAATATAAGGTTGGAATTATAACATTAACAAAACACAACAATTTTAGGTATTACGTTGAAGATCAAAATGAAAATAAATTTCAGTCATTCTAAATAGCTTGAAGTTCACCACCCAATATTAAGGATTTATTGTGAGAAACTACATGTTTTTAATAAGACAATTGGAGTTAATGATGGTTTACTTGCTTATTTGACAATTGGAGTTCAAACGTGGTATATTTCATCAAGTGTGTACTTTGTACGGTGTTTAAGAAAAAAGATTCGAATAAAACGTACTACCTCCCGTCACAATTTGATAGTTCCGTTTAATATTCATTACTTTTTTATTTGGATTGTTTTCAGTCCTAGACCAAACCAAACCAAATCAGACTATTTTAGACAAGATCAGATCAGATCGGATTAGATCAGACCAGAATTTTTTAGTCCAAGTAAAAACATCCTGACGTGGTCAACATAAATCAATATTAATCTTTTATTTTCGTTTGCACAATTGTAAATTTTATTTATTACAAATATTTTGACCGGTGACAGATTAGCAAGATCAACCCTCTATGTTTGAGGGCCTAGGAGCGGAGAAATTAAATAGGCTTGCTTTTAGAAAAATTGAACAACTTTTTGGTCTAAACTAACATGTATAGTAATAATAACCGTTCAAAAAAAACTCAAAACATTTAAATAAACTATTAAACTTTCTTCTATCTAAATAAATAATACCAGTATTGTACAAATAGGATGTTTTTACTTGGACTATAATTCGTCCCAGACCAGACCAGACCAGATCATACCAGACCAGACCAGTTCAGACTAGATCATACCAGACTTGGATAGTTATAAAAATACAAAGAAATCAGACTAGCTCAGACCAATTCAGACCAAACCAGACCAACAAATTATAATCCAAGTAAAAACATCCTTGATGATCTTTATTTAGGAAGAAAACATGATAGTCCTATAGTGCAACTTATTAATGTTTTACTGTTATTTAAGGAATTAAGTCTATTATTGTTCACTACTAAATTCTCACCTCCAATGATGTGATAATTCTTAATTGTTTCATAGCTAAATCATTCTTATTCTTTGAATTATCATCATGCGGATTTTTAGAATTTTAATTCCTTACATATATAACCAAACTTTTCCATTGAATCGTTTTTACTTAGCTCCACATTATCTAATTTTTTCTTCTCTTTTTATCCTATCTAGATTTAATCATTTTTAATACATCTTGAAATTAATTAAATTTATCAAAATAACAATACATTTTACCCTTGAAATTAAAGAAAGTACTCCCCCCGTTCCACTAACAATGGGATAAGAGGGAGTGACACACAAATCAATAAAAAATGGTTTATGTGATTGATATCGAATTGATAAAGTAAGAATTAAGTATGAATGATTTAAAATGGGACAATCATAGCACTACGGAGGTAGTATAATTTTATCAAGGTTTTGACTTTCATCAAAAAAGGTTTTGACTTTTATAAAAAATTCACATCGAAAATTTTAATATACTCCTCCAAATGTACTTTCAGTTTCACGTCAATTAGAAGTCTCTACCAACAAACAATGAGCAGCTGCCACAATGCAATTATAACTCCGTCACCAACTAACAAAAAGCAGAAGCAACAAAGATACAGTTTCACTCCAATTAGAAGTCCCTGCAGTCACAAAAAAGCTTCGCTCGGTTAGGTACATCAATTCGATCAAGTGCTCTCCTTCTTGATAGCGGTACGGTGGTTCTACCGTGATCTCGGCTATATACTTTTTGGCAGAGCCGTCTCGCCGTCCATTCCTCTTCTACACCGCTCGCCGCCATTCCGGATTCCTCAAGCACAGGTGAATTACGGTATACGATTTGATTATGAATATTTTCCAGTTACAAAGCTTTGTAATAAGGACTGAGAGAGCATTGTATTTGCTACTCTACTGGTTTCAAATGAGTTTTCGAAGCCAGGCTTAGTGTGGCAAAAGTGTTGGGAGTTTTTCTCTGATGACATACTATACAATATTCGCAAGAATACGGGTAATCCAGGTATATTATATTCTAAACCATCTTTTTTTATTTTTAGTGAATTACTCGCTTATAAAAATTTATATATTTTAGTTCTACAATAATTACTTCTCGATGAAATACTTAATTGATTGTCTTACATACATAGCTAATGACATATTAAGTGAGATAAAAAAATGTACATGATAGTATATTAATATATATACGAAAAAGATCACATCAAGTAGTTTTGCAAGGAAGCCCCGTCCAAACTTGACTATCAGGTGTGATGCCGTTGGAAATTTTTAATGAAATTTTATGAGAACCTTCCTCATGAAGTGTAGATTATATCTACAAATTTTCACCTTGAAATTAAATCAGGGAATCAGTTGAATAAATCATGGAAAATGACTGCATTTTTCGTGTACATTCTGGCGCAGTTGCTTTTAAATTTGGTGGTAATAAACTATACTTGATGATGAGAATACTCACAAAATTTCATTAAAAACTATCACCGGGAACTACCTGAGCTAATCATTACTTATATATATGAAAAAGATCATCATAAAAAATATTTTTTGAATATACTAAATGTTAGTAGTTTATTACCTTATTAAAATTATTTATTACAAAATATTTATTTAGGTAATATGAACGATACCTTCTACTATGTTACCATGTACAGTAACGTAGTTTACTATGGGAGTACTTCTTACTATGTTATATATGCCTTTTGGATGCTTTTTCATAATAGTATAAAAAATATACGTAGAGTGAACTTATTATATTTACTAAATTGACAGAAAAAATCTAAAAAGTTTAACAAATAAAGGTCTATCAATTAATACAAATAATAGCACTTTTACTATTACTTAATTTTTACTATACATTTTCACTTAAAAAATACAAAAAGCTATGCATCTTTTCATGCTGAGTGATGAATTTAATAAAATATACAACATTTAATTACTGAATTAGTAAACATGTTTTCTTTATGTGCATGTTAATTAAAGTTAGAAGTATTGCATGTGTAATTTGGTTGTGATGAAATGTATATATTGTGGAATATTTGATTTATTAGTTTAATCTTAACTAAGGTACTAAAATATTTAAATGCGCTACTGCAGATTTTGAACTGGATAAAGAGAAAATTGAAAAGTACTGTTTGTTGGAGATTCAGAAGCTCTTGCAGTCGAGAGGTAGATCACTACGTGATTTTGCCGGCATACCCTTGCTACCTGATGATGAAATGCCCTCGCTTGAAGAAGTTCTCATTCATGAAGAGCTGCGGTATAATAAATCGTATCTGATTGAGGAGCATGCAAAGTTGTTGGCCGAGATGACAGATGAACAACGTGTTGTGTATGATAGGATAATGGAATCTGTAGATAGTAGAAACGGGAAATTCTACTTTTTCAATGGCCACGGAGGAACTGGGAAAACATATCTATGGAGGACTTTGTCTGCGGTTGTGAGATCTCGCGGTGATATAGTTCTTAACGTGGCTTCAAGTGGTATAGCATCGCTTCTCTTGCCTGGAGGAAGAACCGCACATTCGAGGTTTGCGATTCCACTTAGTGTTGTAGAAGACTCCACGTGCAACATAAAACATGGTAGTCCGTTGGCCAAGCTGATAGAGTTATCTAAGTTAATTATATGGGATGAAGCACCTATGACGCACCGACACTGTTTTGAAGCTCTTGATCGGAGTATGAGAGACGTGCTTCGTTACTCCAGCCACTGTGACACTACCTTGCCTTTTGGTGGGAAGACGATTGTATTTGGTGGTGATTTTAGGCAAATTCTTCCTGTGATACCAAAAGGCACGAGACAAGATATTGTGCACGCCGCACTGAACAGTTCATTCTTGTGGTCACATTGTACTGTAGTGAGGCTTACTAAAAACATGAGGCTAGCAAGGATGCTCGGCCAGCCGGATGGACCAACTATCCAATCTTTTGCAGAGTGGATTTTGAAGATTGGTGACGGAGCTTTTGCTGAAAATCAAGACGGAGAATCACTAATTGAAATACCAGACGATATGATTGCTCCAATGACGTCTGATCCTGTTGAATCCATAGTTCAAGCTATTTATCCAGATTTCTTAACCCAGGGTGATCCGATTAATTATCTTTATTCCAGGGCTATTCTTGCTCCAACCATAGATGAGGTTGATAAGGTCAACGTTTACATGTTGAGCCAGATAGATTCAGAGTTAAAGACATACCTAAGCTCAGATTCAGTTTCTTCATCCGACTCGGATAGTAATGATCTCTTGCATGAGATACATTCTCCTGAATTTCTTAATAGCATCAAATGTTCTGGCTTGCCGAGTCATGAGCTCAAGCTGAAAGTTGGAGTTCCTGTGATGCTTATGAGGAATATCGATCATTCATCTGGATTGTGCAACGGCACACGACTTCTGGTCACTAAACTTGGAACTCATATTATTGAGGCTCAGATGATGCACGGAGAAAATGCCGGCGAAAAATTTCTTATTCCCCGCCTTACTTTGACACCATCGGACATTAGTCTCCCGTTCACTTTTCAGCGTAGGCAATTTCCGTTAATGGTTAGCTATGCAATGACCATCAACAAGAGCCAGGGACAGTCATTGGAAAAGGTTGGCATCTTCCTCCGTCGTCCTATTTTTACGCATGGACAGTTGTACGTGGCTGTCTCGAGAGTAACAAGTCCGTCTGGGTTAAAGTTTGTTATATGTGACGAAGAAGGGAAACCAAAGAAGTCAGCGTTGAATGTAGTATACAAAGAAGTTTATACTAATTTGTAGTTCCCTTGCTTTACATGCATACATCCATACTCATTGCTAGCATATCACTTCATGATATGTACTTAACTTTTAGCATTATTTTTTAATGTCGTATTAAATATGAATACTTATTTTATTTTATTGTTTAATGTGATTAGTTTGTTTTAGTTTTTAATTTTATGTTTTGAGTTAGGTTGATTGACTATGAAATTCTTTGAGTATATATTTGGTTGATCCAAACATCTCACTCCCGTGCGTAGCACGGGTGGAATTACTAGTAGGCATTATAGCCAAGCCGGCCTCCCCAGCAACCAACACGGACTAGACACATGGAAAAGGGAACGAGGGCGATAGACATCACTCGGAGGCAAAGCGTCACCATCATAATCACACACCTTGAGCCATACAACTGTTAGAAAATTGATGTAACGTACCTTGAAAGTACAACAACAGGAGTTTAAATTTTCCCCAAACAGATCTTCCCTGATTATGACAACAACGAATATAACAATAATAACAGATCTGAGTTAGAACTTACAGATCTTCCAGCCTAGCGGTGATAATCCTTGACATTTGGTATCCACGTGATTTCTCCTTTCCGAAAGAACAGTTAGATCTGCCTAAGAGAAAGACTAGGAAATCTCTTCGCGGGGAAATAAACTGGTAATACTGAATATGAAAACTGGTCACTCAATTATGAAGGAGGAGGATGTATTTATACTAGTTCTAAACTAATTTCTCAATCACAATGAAAGTCTTGCTCATTAATGAGTTCTAGTCCTACTAGGACCAATACTTCATTATTAATTAAATAAGTAGATAAAATAAAATAAAATAATAATAACAACAACAATAGAGAAGTGGCGTGCAGCCACTCTCTACTTGTTATATATATTATTATTTATTTTATTTCATTTTCTTTTAGATTCCAAATCATAAAGAAAAATATCAACTTTATTTAATTAAAAATACATCTTAATTAAGTACAATAAATCTAATTTATCACACTTAATTAATTCTATCAAATAGAACTTTCCTTCAACACAATGAATTAAATATATTAATCTAATTAATATTTAATCCATTTTCAGTATTACTGATTAAATATTATTTAATCCAATTAATATAATATTTAATTCCTTCTAACAATTCAATCAGAAGGTATAATCACTTGTCGTGTGACCCATAGGACCTTATATATTAAGCACTAATCAAATTAAGGTCTTAGTAGAATCCCTAGACGATTTACCAGACAAACTTAATATATAAGGACGTTTGCGAGCACTATTCAAACTCCCAGTAATCTAGAGCTCATAGTGATACGGTCCTTTCATTCAACGAACATTCAACTAAGTCTAGAACATGATATTGTGTCTATTTCAATAACTTAGTTTCTGTCTCTCAATCCTTCTAGATGATCCATAACGATCATATTCGATATCCAAAACGAATATATCTTTGCATTGACCAATGACTTTATGATCCATCTAGATATGAGAATTAGAATGTTCTCTGTTAATCTATTACGATGAATGAATCCTTTCTTGGCTCAACTACTACTCCATGTGCTTCGTGATGCACCAACACATGTCGTATCTACCCCGATTGAAGTGCAAGCGTTGGTCATGGTCAAAGTACATCACTCCGCACATGTAGTACGTATTGACTAACGCTTATAATGTACTTGTGTCCAATTCTTCTTTATATATGCACTCCACATATGGTCAAAATTTAAAATTAAAAAAATAAAATAAAAATGTACTTGTGTCCAATTCTCCCTTCAATTGTTTTTATATCACAATTTAATATTGCTAGTATAAAATATTATATTGTTTCAAAACTTTACTATATATTGAGATTCTTTCAAAAACAATGTTAAAATACGTGTTTCAATGAAAAAATGTATTCTCTGCATTACAAAATTACATATTTTGTATGAAAAGTAGTGAATTTAATTTTATTAAGGGCAAACAAAGTCAAATAATGTAACAATGTGTTCAAAATTTCACCACTAGACTAAAATTAATATTTATGAATTTGAAGTGCTTCGTTTACAAAGGGGGGGAAAATAAATTTTCAATTTAAAATTAAAGAGTTAATATTTTAACATAATAATACATCTTTATTTTTAAATTTTGAATTTATATTTTATTTTTAGCGTTTTTTGAAATTTATTTTATCTATTTAAAGTTAATAAGGGTAAATTTGCGCCTTGAAAAGAACATGAGGGGTAATTTTGCACTTTTTAAAAGTCCAGAGGTATATATGCACTTCAACATATACTTGAGGGGTATATTTGTTCCGAAAAATAGACATGTGTATATTTGTTCTCACACGCATACTACAAGCGTATATTTGTACCTTTCCCTTTTCAATTATAATCTAATTTTATCAAAATTTATACGGAGTATCAAAATAATTTTTTTTTTTATCTTTCATATGACACCAATATTGCATATATAATTTTCTTTTAAAAAAATAAGCATAATATGTAAACAATAAACCACACCAAACAACTCTCTCTAGCTATTGCACAGAAGAACATGTAACTAACGCAGAACAACCATATATAATGCACACGTAAACTAGTACTTTGAAAATCACACAGAATTTGTATATAAACATAAAAAAGTATGTGAATCACAAAAGAAGTATCTAACGCACAACAATTATCTACTACTACCTCCGTCCCTTAAAATTTTGCCAAGTTTGATCGGCACGAGAATTAATAAAGTAAAAATTGTGTGGTTGATGTTTGTGTAGAGGAGAGAGCATTAACTAGAACCACAAATTCTTTACTTAAATTGGAAAGTGGCAAACTTAGTGGGACATCCGAAAAAGAAAAGTTGGTATAGTTTTAAGGGACGGAGGGAGTATTATATAATACACATAAACTAGTATCTACGAACCAATATGTATATATGTTAGAGAACTCGTATGTAGCACATAGTATGGGCTTAGAGAATCACAACAAATACATCATACACAATAACCGGTATCAAACGCACAATCCCAAATTGTGTATTTGAGTGACACAATAGTGCAGTAGTGAATTGTACGGATGCATATGAGTGAGCAAAATATGCAAATGCAAATGTTAAGAGGTAAAGTATATTGAACATATGAAAACCATGAATGTGCAACTGATAGTCATTCATTGTGCAAAAAGTGAAAAAACAAGTGTAAATGTGTTGTTAGTTTCTTTTTTAGGATTCAGGTAGTTTGCAATCATTTGCACTAGAATAATGTAGTAGTGATTAAGATATTATGCTAATTGCATATGAAAAATATAAAATTGATGTACTAGGGATTAATAAAATGAAAATCAATATGAAGATAAAACAAAATAAGAATGAGAGACATTACAATGGAGAAGAAAGACACAACAAAAATTAATAAAAGGAAATGATTTTGTTTCCTTGTCTTTCGTAGACTCGTACTCTCGTAGTCACTAATGAAGATTCCATTACAAAAAGCAATGCTTCTATAAGCAAGAAAAACCATGTGAGTTATAAAAAGAAATATTTAATAGGATTTGGAATTTAATCTTTCCATTAGTGGAGGAAGCGTATACTATACAACCGGCTGTACGGTGCATATGATATACAACTGTAGCATTTTTGTAATTTTGGTGAAAAGCACGACTTCTTTTGAATGAGCATTAACATAATTTTGTTGAGCATCAAGTCTATTCTTTTGAGTATTCAAAGCCTAAAAATGAGCATCAATGTTCTCTGCCTCATATAATCTATTTCGCTTTCTTTGTATTATTTTTTCATTTATAAAAACTTTTAAATTATGTCTGTAATCAATTCCAATTAATTTTAATATGTAAATCTAATATAGTATGATATGTTTGAAATGTGTAACATTTGAAAATGAGCGTAAAGCAGTACCCAATGAGCATACATATCCCACAAAATGAGTATCAAAAAAATCGAAAGCTCATTTGTGTATGCTCATTGATTTTGGGCGTTATACTCATTTAAGTTTAACATAAAACTTATTTTTAATGTGCTTAATATTCGTTGTGTATGTTCATTTCTTTTATGCGTATACTCATTTGAGTTTAATATAAAACTCATTTGAGATCAATAACGGTTTTTATTGAATTGACATTAGATATGAATTTTTGAAAGAAAAGAAAAATGAAAAGCAGAGCAAAAGCTGAAAAAAAGAAAAAGACAAAATGAGAAGCAGAGCAAAAAACGGGAGAGCAAGGCGGAAGAGAAACTGAGGAATTGAAGTTTGGAAGTATTTTTGGTCAAATCACCAGGTACAACAAGTCTCATAGTTGTGTGAATCTCCATGGCGGTGATCGTTGGCTTCTTCCTGTAACGAGCAAGTCTGGAGGACTCTCGAGCCTTGCTGGAAATTCCAGCGGCTGATGTGCGAACTTCACAAGGGTGCGAAGCGAAGAAGCGCAAAGCCAAAAAAGGCCGCCTGTATCGTGCACACGATATAGCCGACTGTACGGTATATTTTGCGATTAGTGGAACAGACACATTTATTATGAACGTTACTGGCACCATTGGTTACAAATAAAATAATACAACCTCCAGTCCCGAATCAAATTCACACTTTCTTTTTTGGGTATGTCCAAAATAAACTTCACACTTCTTCTCCCTTCCTTGTTTGGCAAATTATCTACATCAAAACGTACAGTGCAAAACAGTGTCAAATAGTGCAAAACAGTGTCAAACAGTACCAAACCAGTTCGTATACCATGCAACCGTCCCACGGTGCGCGTGGTATACCATCCCAAATTGTAGTGGGCTTTGTTATTTTTTATTTCTCCTTTTCTTAAAAATGTTAATAATTTTTTTATTTTTGATCCGATTTTTAATAAAATTTATATCAATTTTTTTTATTTTTCATGATCTTTCAAATGAGACCAATATTGCCTATGTAATTTTAACATATTAACATTTGCGTTTAAAAATATGTAACTTTACGTGTTAAAATATGTAACTCACGTTCAGTCATACCAAATGCAACTCGTGTGTATAAATATGTAACTCTACGTGTAAAAATATGTAACTTTACG